ACTCTGCTTGTCAGAAGGTCGCAAAATGGGATCACTTGATCCCTGCAACTGTCGTAAATAGGAGTCAGTTGTCAAACATCTGAATTTTTGATCGGGTGACCCCGGAGATGCCGCAACGGTCGTAAGTGTGAAAAAACGGCCATTAGCCGCTCTTTTTCAATGACGTTGTCAATTGGGTTTGGGATATCCTATTTAATTTCTTTTTAACTTTTGTATGATGTGTTTCTTTTAATTGTACGCCGCCCTGAGTCCCTTGGGAGAAGGGCGGCATATAAATCGAATAAACCTAAACCTAAACGTGCTGTTGTAAGTCGAGGACTGCCTGTATTAACAGCGGCACGTTTCATCTTGAATCCGATTTGTCTTCAGATGCTGAGTGGGGACTCAGTGGCAAGGGGGCATGTGGCAGTCCTCAACTTAACGGCCGCAACGGAACCCAACGTTTTCGTTGTCAAGGGAGAAATCTGTTAACTTGAGTTTTGCTCCATTTTGCGACTTTCCTTGCTACATTTGTTAAGTGAATCCTTGCAGCTGTTGAATCAGTCAGAAGGGTTGTTAAGTGAATCCCGGCTTCCCCGTGGAGTTTGCTTGTCACATAGTGTGACCCCGGGACACTGCAGCGGTCATAAGTATGAATCCGTTGTCAAGCATCTGAATGCAGTGTTCCTAAGTGGGGAAAAAGCTCATGAGACCCTTTTTTCATTGCGTCTGTCAATTTTGGTGGTCACTAAGTGACCCACTAAGTCAGTACTCTTCTAGAGCAAAGAAGGACTAGGAGGGACGTGATGGCAGCATTCCAGTATTTGAGGGGCTGCCAATAAGTGGATCCCCCCAAAGAGGAGGGGGTTCAAACTCTTCTCCAAAGAAGCAATGGTGGGAAACTAATCAAGGAGAGAAGCCACCTGGAATTCAGGAGAAACTTCCTGACAGTGAGGACAATTAGCCAGCGGGACAGCTTGCCACCAGAAGTTGTGGGAGCTCCGTCACTGGAGGTTTCTGGAATAAGTTCTCCTGCTCGCACGGGGGGTTGGACTAGAGGACCTCCAAGGTCCTTTCCGGCTCTATTCTGACTCTGACTTTGAGAGTTATCCAGTTTAGTGGCCGCCCATCCTACCAGGGTGGCCCTGGGCGGCTTACAATACGAATCCTCTGGTCGTCCGTGTTGGTCTCTAATTCCTTTCCTTGCACAGAAGGCAGAGGCCACCGGGAGAAGCTGGAGCTGGTGGCCGCCTTCTCCTTCTTCGGGAACGTCATGTCCATGGCCAGCGTGCAGCTCGCGGGGGCCAAAAGGGACGCTCTCCTGCTCAGCTTCAAGGACGCCAAGGTCAGTTGCGTCTGGGGGGGGGAGGGAGGGGAGGGGAGAGAGAGAAAAACAGGCTGCCAGGAGGCTTCTGCTTCTGGAAGAGGGAGGGGGCAGTCCCGGGGGGCAAGAACTCTTGCTCAGAAATGAATAGCAGTAGCCCTTAGACTGATATCCCGCTTCCCTCTCTAAGCGGTTTGCAGAGTCGGCCTCTTTCCCCCAACAATCTGGGTCCTCATTTTATCCACCTGGGAAGGACGGAAGGCTGAGCCAAGCTGAATCACAGGGACTTTTTATTATCTACCTATCCATTCTCTCTCTCTCTCATTCTCTCTCTCTCACCTCTCTCTCTCATCTCTCTCTATATCTATCTATCTATCTATCTATCTATCTATCTATCTATCTATCTATCTATCTATCTATCTATCTATCTATCNATGCTGGCTGGGGGATTCTGGGAGTTGAAGTCCGCACATCTTCAAGTTGCCAAGGTTGAGAAACACTGTCCTATAGAGACAGAATGCTGCTCTTCAAGAGCTGAGGTGGCGCAGTGGTTAGGACAGTGTTTCTGGGAGTTGAAGTCCGCACATCTTCAAGTTGCCAAGGTTGAGAAACACTGCCTTAACAGCTTCAGTGGTTCGCTTAGTAACCGGAGGGGGGGAGTTGTAAAATGAGGCCCAACACGTTTTAACTAGCTCATATTTATGACGGTCACGCGATTCCACTTTTGCACCTTTTTCTGATCAGCTAAGTCAGTGTGGGAGCCATATTCACTCAACGACCATGTTGCTGACTGAACAACTGGAGTGAGTCGCTTAACGACGGTGGCAAGAAAGGCGGTGCAATGGGGCAAAACTCGCTTAGCCAACGTCTCGCTTAGTTAGCAACATGAATTTGGGGCTCAAATCGTGGTCGTAAAGTCGAGGGTTCCCTCCACACGCAGTCCTTGCTTGCCCCCATTCCTTAGCCATTCCTTAGCTGGGGAATTCTGGGAATTGAAGTCCACCGGTCTTCAAGTGGCCAAAGTTGGGGGAGTCCACTTTCCAGAGCGGGGGCCTTTCCCGCTGAGACAGACGGGGGCTTCTACCAGCAGCAACAGAAGGGGAGTTTGGGGGGTCTCCTGCGTCTCCTTGCCAATGGACTGCTCTGTTTGGTTCACAGGAAGAGCCCCCCCTGAAGAAGAAGCGCATGGAGCAGTCCGCCAACTGGTCCGGTCGGTGTCCTGATTTGCAGCCAAGGGGGGCGGAGCCAGGCCCCCACACTCTATAGGGGTGGGGGTGGGAATAGTCCTGCTTTCTTTGCATGCTGCAAATGAGCCCATGCACTCGGCATAAGAGTTCTTTTGTTTCCCTTGACTAGTTTTCTAGTGGGGGGGGCAGCCTCTCCCCTTTCCCACCTCCAGTGGGTCTTCTGAGTCCTCCTGTTGACAGATAAGGTGGACTTGGGGTGGGGGTCCTTGATCAGCCCACTCTGTGCCTAAATCTGAGAGCTTTGTAAGAACTCCCTGTCCTCTGGTTCTCTAGCCTGAAGGCCATCTGCACTGCACTATCTGTCTGTCCTTCCTTCCTTCCTTCCTTCCTTNCTCTAAGAGGCTGTCCAGCCTGACCCAGTAGGTTTCACACTTAATGTCCAAATCTCACTTTACGTCTGCTTTACTCCCTCTTGCCCAATTGTGGCTGCTTCCTTTGAGGGTGGCTTTGAGGGCTGGTGTCCCCCCCCCCCCATGCCCTAGGCCAGGGGTCTGCAAGCTGGGCGACTTTACAACTTGTGGACTTCAACTCCCAAAATTCCTTGTGGACTTAAACTCCTGGAAGTTGAAGCCCACAAGTCGTAAAGTCGCCAAGCTTGCAGACCCCTGTCCTAGATAGCCTTGTGGGGGAAAGAGGACACCAGGACGGACATCCCAGGGTCTCATCCTGCATCCTATAACCGCCTGGCCCTCAATTTCGCAGGGGCCAAAGCAAAAGCACTCTGCACATGCTCAGAAGTGCTTTAGGCGGTGGCAAATATTTCATAGAAATAAGCTTGGAAATGAAAGGAAAGCCATTTCTGGAGACGGGTGTCCTTCTCAGAGTGGAACTAACTCTATGGGCAGAGTCGCCGCAGCCCCAATGCTGCTTTTCAGGCAGGAGACTCGAACCCGCTTCCCAACCTGGCGCCTTCCTGCCTTCACACCAGAGTCCAAAACTTGACCCCTTGAAGACGGGTGGACTTCAACTCCCAGAATTCCCCAGCCAGCAACTTCCTTATATTTATAGTGCATGCTGGCTGGGGGATTCTGGGAGTTGAAGTCCACCACAGTCTTCAAGCGAGTTTGGACACTTCCATTCTAAAACCTACTGAACTTCTGAGTCACTGCACATGCGCGGCACGGCCTTCTGGGAGTTACAGTCCTACAGAATGGCGGCAACCGGCCATCCCCATTGGACCGTACCCCTTCCCCGCTGCCCAATCAGACGGAAGGAACCGAACTACACGCGGGAGCCTCAACTCCGCCCTTCTCTGGTCCCTGCCGCCTGTTCTTCCCCTCCGGCTCGTGGCCACGCCCCTTCCCCTCCCTCCGCTCTAGCCTCCCGTCTCGATGCCCCTTCCTTGCTTCCCCAGGCGCGCCGAGGGTTCCAGCGGACGCGGTTTCCGCCCGGAGTGCTTTTCCCGCTGCTCCCGCCGGTGAGGGGCTGGGAGGTAAGCGCCGCGCGCGGGGGTTTCGGGGGTCTGGGGGCTCCGTCGTGCCCGGCCTGACAGAACCCCCTCATTTCGGTCACATTTCCGCCCTCGGAGGGCTGTTTCTCCGGGACTTGGAGCTCGGTGGACAGAAAAGGCACTCTGTACATGCTCTGGGGCGCCCTCGCGGGGGTTCCGACCAGAAGGTTCCTTGGGCAGACCCGGGTATGAATTCCTTGATGAACCCGGGTTTAAATACCCGCGATTAGCACGTGTGAAGGGCAAATGGCTCTTTTTAGGCTGGTGCCTCGGCGTGCAAACCGAGAGAGAATAGAATAGGGACAGAGCTGGAAGGGACCTCAGAGGTCTTCTAGTCCAGCCCCCTGCTCGATCAGGAGACCCTATGCCATTTCANGTCGACTCAGCCTTCCATCCTTCCGAGGTGGGTGAAATGAGGACCCAGACTGTGGGGGCGATATGCTGACTCTAAACCGCTTAGAGAGGGCTGAAAGCTCTATGAAGCGGTATATAAGTCTAATAAATAAATAAGTAAATAAATAAGTAATACTCCTCTTGAGAAAATCATGATAGCAATAGCCCTTAGACTTCTATCCTGCTTCACAAGTGCTTTCACAGCCCTCTTTACAGAGCCAGCCTCTTGCCCCCCAACAATCCGGGTCCTCATTTGACCCACCTCGGAAGGACGGAAGGCTGAGTCGATCTTGAGCCTGGTGAGATTCGAACTGCCAAATTGCAGGCGTCCGGCGGTCATCAGAAGTGGCCTGCAGGACTGCACTCTAACCACTGCGCCACCGTTATAATATTATGATAACATTGTGATAGTGATAGAAATAGCAAGGGGTAATTCCATCAGGGATGGGATGGCTCAGTGGTGAAAGATGCTAAGCTGGCCAGCTGGAAAGCTGCCGGCCCGGTGTTCGAGACCCGAGTGCCACACGATGGGGTGAGCTCCCCTTCCTTTGAAGGTATCTCCGGCTTCCTGTTGATGGCTGCGCTCCCTCTTTCTCCCTCTCTGCAGCCAGAAGTCCAGCTTCCTCCCCAGCTACATCATCGACGTGAGGGAGCTGGACGAGAAGCTGCTGAACATCATCGACATGCAGTTCCTCTACGGTTACTACGAGCCCACCCTGCTCATTCTCTACGAGCCCAACCAGACCTGGCCGGGGTACGTTCTCTCCGCCTTCTGCCCCTGCCCTTCCACGCTGCCGTGGCCGAGCTGTGCCTCTGAGCGTAGACAGAGTGCCTTGCAGCAAGGGGAGGGGGGTTGGAGATCCGTCGAAGGCTGCAGGACGAAAGACGCACCCATGTTTGTTTGTTCGTGGGGGGGGGGGCGGCTGACACTGCGGGGGAGAATCGCCGGAGGAGTTTATGTTTATGCCTTTTCTACAAACACAACAATCTCTCCTCCTTTTGTGCGTTTCATGAGTGTCTATCACTCATTCGGTTGTGCAGGGAGAGTCCTCAACTTATAGAGCATTAACCTGTAGAAAACAAGTCCATCCCACGGTCCAATCTCCCACTACCACGAAGACGGAATCCACCCGTCCACACCCGGCCAGGTGCGGGAACAAAAGGACCTTGACTTTCGGAGAAGGGATGTTGTTATGGCTACATATCACCCAACTCTGTATAATTTCCCCCCTCCCAGTTTCCCACAGTGGAAAGTGTGCCAGGCCTGAAATCCCCCCAAAAAGATGGCTCCTTTACGTGGGAAGCGCTTCATCCTCTCTCCTTCTCCGCAGGCGGGTGGCTGTGCGCCAGGACACCTGCAGCATCGTGGCCATCTCCCTCAACATCATGCAGAAGGTCCATCCCGTCATCTGGTCCCTCTGCAACCTCCCCTTTGACTGCACGCAGGCCCTGGCAGTGCCCAAGCCTATTGGTAAGCGGAGCAGCCCTTCCTGGCTTCACGGGGGTGGGGAAGGCTGGTGCGGAGGTTGGCATCTGCACGCATCCCAAACAGCCTCCCTCCAGATGTTCGGGGACTGCAGAGCCTCCTGGTTTGGAAACTCCAGGTGTGGAGCACTGAACAGCTGCTGCAAATTGCAAACAGAAGCCGCTTTTTGGTGCGGGATTTTGAAGGGGAATCAAATATTGTTGTAGCTGTGGGATGTGTAAGAACCGAGTTGTTTCCTCTGTAGATTCGGGTTAATGTCCGGGTTCCAAATAGCATCCAAAATTAAATCAGAGTCCAAGGGAAAGTATTGCTAAAAGTCCTAATTTATGAAGAGAGCCATGTTGGCCCATCTGGGGAAACCCGAATCTGAAAGCTTCTTGGTTTTCCCCACCCAGTTGAAAGTTCAAGATAGCAATAGCAATAGCAGTTAGACTTATCTNTATCTACTCACCTACCTATCATCTCTATATCATCTCTATCATCTGTCTATCTATCAATCTATCTAGCTAGCTATGCATATCCATCCACCCATCTATCCATTTATCTGATTTCTTTAGCCACCCATCTCAGCAAATGACTCTGGACAGCAAAACATATTACAATTGAAATCTTAAAAACATTTTAAAACCATAAAAACAGTAATAACCACCAAAACACCCACAAAGCCCAGTAAACATCCAATCCATCCCTATTTGGGTGGGAAGCAAGTCAAACAACGGAGGAGGGCTTGGGGAGAAGAGGGAAGGGACGATGACAAGAGGACCAGAACCTTATTTCCCCACCTGTCGCCTGCAGGGGGGAAGTCGGCTCCGCAGGACGAAGTGGATGAGATCGAGGTGTATGGCAGCGAGGCCCAATCCGGCACCCAGCTGACCACCTACTCTTTTGAGGTAGGTTTGCCTCGGTTTCCCCAGGACTCTTTTCGTACCCGAAGGGCCCCCCAGACCCTCCCAAAACCAGGCTGGTGTTTCAGCCCAGAGCTTCCTGTTGAAGGGTTGCTTCGAATCAGTCCTCGGAGTTCCGGCCATCACAGCCTTGCCATCTGGTTACAGCCTGAGCTCTCCCCAATTCCTGTCCATCGCAGCATCTTGCAATTTGATTCCCGAAAGTCCTTTTCCTCTGACGTGTGCTGGAGATTTTCTCTGCATTGGGGGTCTCATCCTGCTTTCCTTCATAAGAAAAAAATGCCCCTTGGTGAATCAGACATTTCCAGACGATCTGATGAGTCTCTCTTCTCTTCCGTAAGGTCTGTGACAGCATCCTGAACATTGGGCCCTGCGCCAACGCAGCCATGGGGGAACCGGCCTTTCTCTCAGAGGAGGTGAGTGGCTCCGGTTTGCTGCCCCCAGCCTCACATGGATGCCGGCAATTTCCTTGGGAGGGAGAGGGGGACACCATCTGGCCTCAGAAGAAAAGGTTGTTTGGGGAAGAAAAAAAAAAAGAAAACAGATTTGGAAGGGACCTTAGAGGTCTTCTAGTCCAACCCCATGCTGAAACAAGAGACATTATATCATTTCAGAAAAATAGCTGTCCAGTCTCTTCTTAAAAGCCTTGTGTGATTGCAACACCCACAACTTCTGGAGGAAACTTCTGTTCCACTGGTTAATTGTTCTCACTGTCAGGAAGTTTCTCCTTAGTTCTAAGTTGAATCTCTCCTTGGTCAGTTTCCATCCATTGTTCCTTGTCTGGCCTTCAAGTGCCTTGGAAAATAGCTTGACCCCTTTCTCCTCTCTGGGGCAGCCCCTCAAATATTAGAAGGCTGCTATCATGTCTCCCCTGGTCCTTCTTTTCATGAGACAAGACACAGCCAGTTCCTGCAGTCTCCAGTCCCCTAATCATCCTGGTTGCTCTTCTCTGCATTCTTTAGAAATTCTTTTGGAAAAAAGAAAAGAAATATGAAAAAAAAAGTTCCCTGCACAATCAGCCAGATGTTCGGTCTGGATTTGGCATTTTGGTCTGCCTGTTGAGCCCTTCCAAGGACCCAGGATAAGCAAATTGGATATTCGATGGTGTTCTTATTTATTACATTTATATGCTGCCCATCGCATGGTTCAAGGAGATTCTGGGAGGCTTGCATTATAATGAAAAATAGATATAAATACAATGATACATGTTAAAAAAAAAGATTGAATTTGCAGAACATTAAATGTCCTTAAGATAAAATATCCTTGAGAAAATTGCGTGGGGATTCTTGGAGAAATGAGGGGATGGTCAGGGTTCCAAATAGCATCCAAAAGTAAAAGAGTCCGAGGCAAAGGATTGCTCAGAGTTCCAATTGATGAAGAGAGCCATGTTGGCACATCTGGGAAAACCCAAATCTGAAAGCTTCCCGGTTTCCCCCACCCAGTTGAAAGTTCAAGATCTTGCCCCCACACCCACCCACAAGTCCATCCTATGGTCCAATCTCCCCCTGCCATGCTGGCAGCTTCCACCCATCCAGTTCCGGTCAGGTGCAGAGACAAAGGACGACCTTGGCTTTCTAGAAAGAATGTTGTTATGGCTACATATCATCTAACTCCATACAATCCCCACTCCCATTTTCCCACCATAGAAAATGCCTAGCGGAAGAATAGAAAGTGTGGCCGGCCACAGACCCACAAGAAAAGAGGGCTGCGGGCCTGACAGGGGTTTGCTGTGCGAAAGCTACAAGGGAGGCAGCCTGCTTAATACAGCTTTCTTTTTCCAGTTCCAGAATAGCCCTGAACCTGATCTAGAAATTGTGGTGTGCTCGGGCTACGGCAAGAACGGTGCCCTCTCAGTGTTGCAGGTGAGGGGCGGGGGGGAGATACACCTGGGGAGTCCTTGCAGCCCTGTCCCAGGGAGGAGAGTCACGGGTCGAGCCCCGTTAGCGGCACAATCTAGGGTTGCCCCAGAGACCATTGGGGCACTGATGGAATATTTAGAGCTTGGGGGTTGATCTGTGGGGTCCTTGGTGCTCTGTGGTTTTCTTGCTGAAGTCTCATTACCCAACTACATAGCATCATCAGTGTTAGAAGGAAGCAGGGTTTTCAGAGGAGGAGGAGGAGGAGGAGCAAGACAGGGTCTCTCTGAGCTTTGTGGTTTTCTTGCAGACGTCTCATTGCCCAGCTAGGTAACATCACCAGGGCTAAGGGGTGTGAGCCTCATTCCTTAAAGCCACGAATATCCTGAAACAAACATTTCAGAAGCCTCGCTCCTGTGCGGGAAGCTTTTGTGAATGTTACATTCTGGAGATGCTGGACGCCGACGTCTCCCTCTCCCTTCCTTGCAGAAAAGCATCCGTCCTCAGGTGGTTACGACCTTTGAACTGCCCGGCTGCTACGACATGTGGACGGTGATCTCGCCCCAGAAGACGGAGGAAGCCACCGTAGGTCCAGCCTTTGCTTTTGGAGGCTTTGAGATGGGCATGAAGTCGGTTGGCTCTCCTTCCCGCTGCCAGCTGAGGACAGGCCGCCCTGGCTAAATGCAGGCTTCCCGGGACGGGGTGTTGACTTGCTGGCCCAGGCTTGGTCTGCCCCAGAGTGCTGTGCTAGGCATGTTTTGGGCTGTAGGCAGCTCATCCTTCAAGCCTCGGAGAATATTCACAGCCAACACCCCTATTATCTGTTGTTGTTTTTTTAAAGCTTTTTATTTTTATTTCTCATAAATACGTTCACAAATATACAATCTCATAGCTATTATCAATAATATCTTTTGCCATTTATAACAATTCATTAAAATTAAAAATATAATCAGGATTGCTTTCCTGCCATCCCAGATACACCCTTCTTGTTTTACAACCCTACTTCTTCCTCCTTCCCCTTTTCTCCTTCCCTCCCTTCTTCTCTCCTCTCCTTCTTTCCTCCTCTACTTCCCCTTCCTCTCCCACATTTCTCCCTTCTTCCCTCTCCTACCCTCTCTCCTACTCTTACTTCCCCTCCATTTCTTCCTCTCGTTTTCCCTTTCTTCTTTCCCTCTCCTTTCCCGTCTCCTCTTCCTACCCTTCCCTCTAGTACTCTCTCCGTTCCCTCTTTCGGTTGTTGTGTTTACATATTTCCTCTTCAATCTGGGGTGTTTTCGGGATGGCGTTTGTGCAAACCCGGTTCTGTATTTACATAATAATCTTAAATTCCCTCTTCCTTAATTTATTTTCCATTTTGATAGTCACACATAACATCATCCTATAAACGTACATTTGTATATTAATACCTACACCTATTGTGTGTTGTTGAAGTCTAAAGGATGGGAGAGGCTGGGCAGAGAAGCATTTTACCTCTCTTTGACCGCTTGGTTGGTCAGAATAAGTCCAGACCTCTGTTGGGCCCAGCTAGTGTCCATTCACCTCCACGAGGCCTCCAGAGATCTGTGGTTTGGAATTCCCACATGCCTCTCCTGTCCTCAGTGGTCTCTGTCAGGCACAAAGATTGGGGCCCTGATGGTTTTTGTGGGGTCTTGTTATACAGTGACCTGGGCGGGTTGTCCCCTCTGATCCTCACAGTATGGGGCTCCTTATTGATCTTAGGGGTGGAGTGTGCACCCTGAAAGAGTCCTCCATGTCTTTCCTAGCAGGAAGAAGATACTCAGGAAGAAGGTGCTGAGAAGGAGCCTTCTCCACCTGAGCCAGTGGATGATGGGAAGCGACATGGGTTCCTCATCCTGAGCCGTGAAGACTCCACCATGGTGGGTGCTTCTCTGTGGCTTGCTTGGCGTGGGTTGGATTGGATAAGATTAGATTAAATTGGGTTTGGATGGGTTGAGTTGGGTTGGATTGGATTAGGTTTCAATGGGTTGGGTTGGAATGGATTGGCTTGAGTTGGGTTGATTCAATTGGATTGGGCTAAGTTGGGTTGGAGTGGCTTTGTTTGACTTGAGTTGAGTTGACTTGTCTTGAGGGGTTGGGTTGAGTTGAGTTTGGAATGACTTCGTTTGACTTGAGCTGTGTTCACTTGGCTTGGAATGGCTTGGCTTGGCTGGAGTTGGGTTGGGGTTGAGTTGGGTTGGAATGGCTTGGGTTGAGTTGGGTTGGCTTGGCTTAGTTTGACTTGAATTGGGTTGAGTTGACTTGGCTTGGCTTGAGTTAGGTTATAGTGGCTTGGTTTGACTTGAGCTGAGTTGAGTTGGCTTGGCCTGGAATAGGTTGGGTTGGGTTGAGTTTGGATGGCTTGCCTTGCCTTGGTGGACATGAACTCTCAGATGTCACTGACACACTGAGCATTTCCCTTCCTCAAGAGGTCCTTGGCAGTCCAAAGATCCACCTTGGGCAAGTGGTGGGTGACTTAAGGATGTCAGCAGAAATAACGAACAGAGAGCTGAGTTGGGAGCGCATGAGGTGACTCTTGGCCAGCGGTGTGCTTTTGTGGAGAAGCCATCCCTGCCACTGACCATGTCCCTTCTCAGCAAAGCCAATGGCTTCCTCATCTGGCTCTCAGCTAAGAGGATTTGCCCTCTGGGATTCTTCTCTCCCTCAGATCTTGCAGACCGGCCAGGAGATCATGGAGCTGGACACCAGCGGCTTTGCCACTCAGGGCCCCACCGTATATTCCGGAAACATTGGCGAGAACCGCTACATTGTCCAAGTGTCCCCTCTGGGTATCCGGCTGCTGGAAGGAGGTGAGTGCAGAAACACTACCTGGCTCACCTTCCCAGGTGTCCCATTTTGGAAGTTCAGTAATTCGATGGTAGATAAGGAATTGTCTACACCTGGGGTTCCCAATCTTAGCAACATTAAGATCTCTGGACTTCAACTCCCAGAATTCCCCATCCATTCATGCTGGCTGGGGAATTCTGGGAGTTGAAGTCCAGACATCTTAATGTTGCTGTAATTGAGAACATGGTTGTAGACCTGAGGTGACAAACACAAGGCCCGCGATCTGATCGAATCCGGTCCGTGTGGCCTTCCTGGAAATTGTAAGGGGCAGACCCATGTTGCTTCGGCCCAGTCTACCCAATGCGAAGAGGAAACATGCCAGCAGTTCGGGGAGTGGCAGCAAGCTGACCACGCCCACCCAGTCGGCCATGCCCAGTGAATGGGATTAAGCTGGCCACACCCACCCAGTCGGCCATGCCCAGTGAGTGGCATTAAGCTGTCCACAGCCACCCAGTCAGCCATGCCCAGTGAGTGGCATTAAGCTGTCCATGCCCACCCAGTCAGCCATGCCCAGTGAGTGGCATTAAGCTGGCCACACCCACTCAGTCAGCCATGCCCAGTGAGTGGCATTAAGCTGGCCATGCCCACCCAGTTGGCCACACCCAGTGAGTGGCATTAAGCTGGCCATGCCCACCCAGTCAGCCATGCCCAGTGAGTGGCATTAAGCTGGCCATGCCCACCCAGTCAGCCATGCCCAGTGAGTGGCATTAAGCTGGCCATGCCCACC